GTTTATGGTCCTGGTGACGTCACGTACTCTCTCCTGTCATTCAAACACGTGCTAACTATAGATGGCTGCTAGTGTGTGAAAAGCGTTCACCATCGGCAGGGTGAAAGGCGGCAATTTTCTACAACGTCAGACATCGCCAGGTAAACCCCAGCAACACGTGCAAGTTACAAACAATTCATGAGGCTTTGGAATTTTTTTCCCTGTCGGTATGGTCTCGTAAAGAGCGTGTTGGCGCTGCTGAATGGCGCAAACTGCTCGGGTCCATGCCAGTAACAGCGAAGAAAGCGGTCGTCGCCTTCAACTTCCCAATAAGGAGCCTGTATCGAACACGGAACACACAAATCATCGTTTTAAAATTCCTTTAGCGGGCAGAGATTTCTTTTCTGACCCGTTCATACGTGAGAATGGTTCAAGTAGTGTAGTAGGCTCGAAAAATCAGGGTATTTTGAACGAGCTACAAGATTATATTCAGAGTACAGAACATCGGACTGTCAACAATAATAAGGGAAATTCCTTGCCCAACAAAATGGCGACGTCGAGTTCGAGTGCAACAAACCAACAAACGGCGAACGCGAATGGGTTTCAAATGTCTATGAATTCATCTACGGGACCAGTAAACAAGTCAGGAGCTGCTAGTTTGGGAATACCCGCCTCCGTTCATCTAAACAATCAACTTTCGACAATTCTCGACCCAGGGAATACCGACCCAGGAAGTTCGACGGCAAACACGGCCGTACCGTCTAGAAATCTTACTCCAACGAACCCTAACCCCGCAAGTATGAAACTTTTGGCGTCAAATCAACCTGCTTTATCACCACAAAACCAGTACGATCAATACAATCCTCGACAGGAAATGCTACTCCACGGATCGTTTCGCGAAGTTCCCATCGCACCTAGAGCGCCGAACGCAGCGGAACAATATGGCTCCCAACAAAGGTTTGCTTCTGCTCGTAGTGAAAATCAACTAAAAAGGGGGTTAAATCCCCAGACTTCTAGCCCGTTTCCGCCGGGTTATTACAATCAAGACTCAATTTCGTCTCAGGCTGGGCAAAGATCGTCTAACTCGCAACCAGATGAAAGAAATATGATTACAAACCAGCATTTTCAGTGGCAAAGTCGGCTGCAGACGTCGAACCATTGTTCGACAAATTTACCAACAAATACATCTCCCGGCCCACCGATGAGTCGAGCACAATTGCAGGTAAGACCATATTAAAACCGTTGGGAGATTGTTTATATTTTTTGGTATCTCGGGCGTTGTTAGTTTCATTTGCGGGGAGATTGGAGGGTCACAACGGCTGCAGTGAGAAACAGACATACGCTTAAAATATTTATCGTCAGAATATTCATATCACAATGGCGGACTCGAATTTAGCGCGGGGCTGATCGAGTTTCGGCAATCCGGTAAAAACGATGCAGAGCGGATTACGTCCTTCTCTGAAACGGCAAGGTTTCGATTCCTGAACCTACAAGTCCGGCGCGGTAAGTTATTTTGTGTACAATTTTGTAGACAATTTTAAACCAGGATCACCACCTGTGAAATTCATATGTCTGTTTGTATGATTGGCTCTGCTAGTGTCAATTTATAAATAATTGCGGGTACTTTTGAGACGTTGTAAGTCATTGGTCTCAGAGGGATTAAACCTTGATCATTTTATTGACCTTTCTTTTGTAAAAAAATGTAAGGGTTAGACATTTCTTTGTTATATTGGTCCACTATATTTTTGTTACAGTAAGCTTGTCTTCACCTTATTAACTTGAATTAAACTGCTTAGAAGTAAATTAGGTTGTTTCAACTTTTTCAATTGTGACAGTCGTTCTGAAGCAGGTTTTGTTTCACTTTGACATGTTGCATATGATTAGTTGGGAATGGATTGTACAGTACCTTCAAAACTCACAAAGGTTCCAACTATTTCGATAGTAATAGCCCTAAAATGTGTACTCCATCATTTTTTAAAGTCATCTGATCTTATGATTTTACTAGTACATTGATAATATAACCTTGATGATAATAATGAAACCATTGACCCGGGTTAATACTGGAACCAAAGGGATAGAATAAGTGTAATGGACACCTTTTATTGGTGCAAAGGTTGGAGTGTCAAACTTTGAAGTGACGCAAGGGTACTTAGTGTCTGTGGCTCACACAGGATTGGAAAAGTCCTCTAAAACATACCAGGCCCTTGAAAAGTCCTTGAGAATTGAATGATCAGGAAATGTCCTTAAAAAGGCCTTGAATTTCCCTCAACAGTCCTTAAATGTTATTGAAACTTTGAATACAAATTCAGATGTTGTTCATCCTTTGCTCCCTTAAATAGTTTTACACTGAAAATATTGTTTGCTTGGTGTTCCACACACAACAACACAATTGTATGAAATAGTCTCTGTTTTGTTTTACTGTCATTTTCTGTTTCTGGTCCAGCCAAACCAACTGAATATTAAGCAAAACCTTTGAAAGACTCTTGGCCATCTCTTTTATGGGAGCAGTGGAAGTAAAGGTTTGTTTTAAGTGAGCTTGTGAGAGAGGGAATATAAATTCATGAGTGTTTTGTTGAGACAAAGAACTGAAAATTGATCATTAGGAATGTGTGTGTATTGAAAAGCAGGATTCCACTGTAGTCTTTCTATTTAACAGGTGAAAACTACCAGTTAACAAATAGATTGCAAGTGACTTTTGAACAGATAAATAGATTTTTTAAACTGTTGAACCTCTTCTCATAAGATACAGATGATTTCCTTAATTGCTCGTAAAACAGATTGGCTTAACAATGTAAACAACTTTACCAGTAATTATTGAAGTTCCAAACATTTTCTGAAGTTAATTATATCTGTATCTTGTAATGCTTATGGTGTTTACAAATATGGATATATATTGTTAGGCATTCTTAAATGCTTATCGAACAAGCAAATATTTTTGTGCACATGCTTGACCCAAAATGACAATTTGTGGATGAATACATGAACTTGTACTTCATAAAGAAAAAACAAAGGTAATCAACATGGAGGAGGTTTGGAAAAATAATGGGTGTCATCAGTTTAGACAGTTGCACACAAAACAAACTGACACCTACCTTATGCAGGCCAAAGAGATCTTTTAGGACCATACCTAAATTAACATAATCTCGTTAAACAGGCAGTAGAAAAGAGCAAAAACATTGTTAAGTTCACCAAAAACTTCCCATGAAATCTTGTCCCACAACTCATCACAGGGTTTGTTTAGAGTCCTTAATTCATAAAAAAAGTATTAAAATTTGCTAACCAGTTTTCCAAACCTGCAAAAAGTTCGGAACAGTTTGTAAAAAGTATGGTCTTTGGTGTTTTGAAGCTGCAACAAGTGCCTAGGGACTTTTTTTATAGTGGTAAAATCTTATTTCGTCTCATCTGTAGCAAAAACATTCAAATGCATTTTGAGAAGTTTCTCATTTTTCTAAAGTCCAAATTGTGCTGTGGTTACTATACATTTGCATCAATGGAAAATTTTGATTCCTTCCTTTTTTGAGGTTTCTATGGACTACTTATTTGACAACTTTGAGTCTGGATAAAGAAATACCTGTGGTAAAAGTATTTTATTTTTACATCCAAAGATCTATTGTACCCCTGATACCCACAAAATAGTTTCACAATCCTTAATTTTTCTTGGAAACTTTTCCCACCATAATTAAGTGTAGTAAAAGCCCAGGTAAAGAGAAACATTGGGGGAAGAACAGGGAAAGAAGCAGAAGAAATAGAGAGAAAAAGGTAAACATTGAGAGGGCAGTGTTGTTTTAAGCCCACCTGCATATGCCCAAACTTTAGAAGCTCTATTTTTGTTCCAGGGACAAGTTGCAACTTGTAAATGATGTTTGTTATTGTCACATTTATGCTGGATTGTTTCCTCCTTTCATCTTCAATGTAACAACAACTTCAAGAAATGCCTTCTGATAAGATTTTTAAGACACATGGCTTTATTGTAGATATAAGAGAATTTCTGTAGCTTACAACAAATTGACAGCATAAAATTTACATTGGCATGTCAAATGGTTGCTATGAAATTGCAGCTCTTATAAAGAAGTGAATAACCACAAAAGTGTTATTGTTTTGATCATCCTTGCTAAGTGTAATAGTATTTTACCAAACAAAAAAGTGTAGTAAGAATTAATAAAGCTAGGTGCCTAATATCCCAGGTCCACTGAAATTCCTTTCATCCAGTCATATTATGTGGCCCAATATAAGTTATATCAAGTCACATTGAAGTATCGTGGAGAGATTCATTTTGTGAAGTCCTGATGATAAGGGCTCTGTGATTGATTACTCCAAAGAACTAAAGGGAACTGCATTTAGTTTGTCATACAAACCATGGCTCTATTGGCAAGTTCCCCGTTGAGAGTTTGTCACTGATATTCCTGTAGCTATTTTGTCACAAAAATTTGACTCTATATCTTTCTGATTGGTATCTCATCTGATTTGCCTGTTCAGTGATAACACAACCAGATTCAATTACATCGACGTTTAACTTTCTCTGATTCATTTGGATAAATTCATTTCATACTTATTGTGAGAGTGTTGGCCAGAAATGTATTTTCGTAAGAAGGATATAGGTGTTACACTTAGATCCAATAGAGAGTAAAAAGAAATTACCATATGAAGTTCCTTGTGGAAACATACAACTTAGCAAAGTTCTGAATCTCACTCAAAGCTGTTATGTTAGTTAACCATGATTAGAAAACAACACACTGTCCCTACACCTTTTTTGCTGTGGTTTACATAACAGTTTCTCATTGCCAAAAAGAAAATTTCATGCATCTAAGTATCTTCTTTTTGTATTTACTGTTGATATGGCAAAGGTGTAAAAATGCTGATTAACAACGTACAGAAATTCCTTTGTTTTACTGATACCAGGGAAACAATATCATGAATTCAGTCACACATCCCAGTCCTCTTCTGGTCATCAAATTGTATGATTTAACTTGGTACTGACTGATAACATCACACTCTTCTTTTTGGCATGTCAGGGACAGAAAGCATCCCTAGCTTGTTAAACTCTGTTGTCCTTTTGAGTAATGAATCAGTCTTGTTTTTGCTGTTGTGTAATTTGTGCTATAATTTATAGCAGTGGAAATTTTCCTGCCTTGGATTGTTTGTTTGTGTAAAAGAATGTTCATAGTTTCACAGACAAATTTTTAGCCTTTACAGTATTTCCAATATAATGGCAGTTTTTCTGCCAGAATTTTGTACAACTTGGGCTTTGTTGAATTTGCGAAACATTTTCACTGCTTTTTCTGTCAGTCTTACCCAGAATTTCAGCCATCCCCTCAAGTCGCATACACTTGAAAGGGATGTCTTAATCAACAAGCTGCTAATTCCATCGAGTGACGTCACTTCTCCACTGCTTTAATTCATGTAAACATGATTTTCACCTGGCAAACAATGATCTAGATGTTACATATGGTCTACATTGTTTTTATAGTACAGTTTAACCTGCATTAAACAGCCAGCCTCGGAGAACCGGCAAATGGCTGTTTAATGGAGGTTGGCCATTCAATTGAGGTTTGTCATAAATTAGCATAATCTTAAGCAGAAACATCACTTTATTTTGAAACAAACCCGTGACAGGAGCAGCGTTACTTGTTCAAAATCAGTCATCACCTTCTTTCTCGCATTGTATTTTCCTTCATCAATACCTTGAAATTAAGTCAAACTAAGTGTATCTAGGGCTTGATGGCCACTTAATAGAGGTGACCACAATGGGTGAACTCTTGTTGGGGCAGCCAAAAGGTGGCAGCAGCAGCTGAACAGTGGTGACTGCAATTATTATTTCAAGACTTTGGTTACTGGCCGCTTAATAGAGGGAGGTTCAACTGTATTTGAGTTAGTCCCAGGAGTAAAAACAATAATAGTAGTTTGCTGAGATACACCTGTGCATAAATCTGTTATTCACCTGTTTTTATTTTGACTTAACTTTTGAGCCACTATATACAGGAAATATAACCTTAATGCAGCCTTTTTACCATCTTTGGTTATATTTGCAACACAACAGAATAAGTTGCAGTGGGTCTACTTTATTCAGGGTCCCTTAGACAGGATTTACAACTGTAACTAATTACATTTTTAGAGGCAAACAGTGAGTCCTAGCCAAAGTTATTTGGGCCAATCGTATGAAAATGAACAGTTTTTAGTGCAAAATTCACACTCTGGTATGACAGGTTAAAAAATTGGCAGATCTACTAGGAAAATGTACAAAAGGTAGAAACACAAATTAATTGTTCAAAGCAACTTTGACATCCCTTATTGCAGTTAACTATTGTTAGTAGTAGTTTTATGTAAGGCTTTTTTGTAAATGTTAATGCGTGGATTGCTGTGTTCCATCAAAGAGGTTATTTGGATTTCCACACTAAATCAAGCAGCCACTAATCTAGTATATTCTTTAATATGTTCATGTTGATATATATTAATTTTCATATAAACTCCTCACAAGTATCCATATTCCACTCTTCCAGTCCTTTATATCTCTGTAATTTTGCTAAAAGGTGCCCACTAAGTTTTTTCTTGAACATGGGCATCCTCGTGTTCAAGGCAGTGTAGCCAGAAAAAAACAAAAAACAGGGGGCTTGGCATCTTGGTAGGTGTCAGCAGAGAGCTCAGGCCCAGACCTAACTGTGGGTGGTTGGCTTCCTTTTTTTGCATGTCAAAAGTAGGGGGGTAGGGAGCGGAAATCTTGTCACTTTGATTAGAGTTTCAAGTCAGAAAGCAAGGCAAAATCAAGGAATTTTTCCTGTGTGATAGCCCAGCCAAATCAATGCTCTGACTCATAATCATAATGCTACTAGCAGAGCTTGGGGGAATGACTGACTGACTAGTCATAGGTGGGGAGGGTGAGTTCTTACTCCTTGGACTTGGCTTTCTAGAGACTTATCAAATCCGACAGATATATACTAATATATTAACTATTATTAACATTTTATGTTCGTAATATGTTTTTTCTTTATCGTTTGCTTATGAATTATCAGTCAATGTTAGTAAAGAAAATAATTCCATAACCATCAGGTTTGCAGTCAGACAGCCTGTAGCCACCACTGGCTCCCTGCAAAATGACGTCTGAAAAACGAGCGTAGAAACTGAATACTGATGATGTGTCAGCCACTACCTATATCTGGGTAGTGCCCCTGATTAGTTGATATTTTGCTTCGATAACTTGTGTGTGTGTGTGTGTGTGCACTTCCCATGAAGTATCCTATGTTAATTGCTACAGCAAAAGGAAAATAATATGACATTGACCAAGTCAAAAATCTACAGCAATTGCTCTTTAAAATTCAAAATCCTACAAGCATCACCATTATAAACCTGGTCTAGGCCCTCAATGATGAAAATTTTTTAGAGCGGCATACAACAAAATTCAAAGAAACCTTCAAAGCCTACTTTTCTTGCTACAAACAAATGGCATTTAACATAGGTACGAGGTATACAAACTATCTACAATCGTTGGAATACATAAATGTATTTTTGTTTTGATTGTGATCTAAACAGCAAGTTGTGATAAATCATTGACCTTGAAGGCAAATAGATAAAAACATTATCTTCATCACTAGTATGACTCACTCCATCGTCATAAGACACAACCTAACAAATAGAAGGCAACATTTGTAGACATCCATCATTCCTCAATATCCCTGTACTATTTGAGCTCCAAAACAGCTGAGATGTAAGTGTTAAGAACGACCCTTGCTACACAAATTTATTCATGACTGTACGTTTCCCTAGGACCTTACTGGGCTTTTCAAAAACTCTGAAGTTCAAAAGCCACCTTCACAATCATTTTTCACTGCCACCAATCCTAATTACGATCACAAGCAACAAACCTTCAAACAAATAAGCACACAAAATGGATCAAAATCCACCAATCACAAACCATGACCTTTTGAACTTGCTGAAGTAAACTTCCTTTCCTAAGAGGTTTGCTAAAGATGATTGACGGAAGCAAAAAAAGGAAACATTAGTTGGCTTTTGAACTTCAAAAATCACACGTTTTGAAAAGCACAGTAAAGGAACCAATTTATTTGATAACCAAACATTATCACAGTTTCATTGCTTTAATCGTTTTATTTGCAGCAGCCAGGGATTCCACAACAGCAGATGCCTTACATGATGCTCGGCAACTCACACCAACAACAACAACAGTCACATCAAGCCTCTTCGCAGCAACCATATGCAGCATACATAATGCAGCAGCAGGGTGGTATGAAAGCAGGGAGCATGTCACAAGCACAGCCATACTATGGAAATATGAGCATGAGTGGTCGGCAAGTTATGGGGCAGACAAGTCTTCCAACACAGGGTCAGCAAATGGGAAGCCAAATACAGAAGCCTTCTCCCGATTATACCAGCTTTCAGCAGCAACAACAGATGCAGCATAGATATCCTCAGGTACAGTACGAGACATCTGTCCTGGTGCTGTAAACACTTGGGTACTGCACATGCTTTGATGTCGTTCTGTTCAATTTATTTTTAGTGCAAAGGTATTGTCATGTTAAGGTCTTTAGGGATTTAAGTATCAGCTGTTTTTGTACAGTCAAAATACTCAGCTAGTTTAATAAACATTGAATAATATTTTTCACAATTACGGGGCCATTTTTCAGTTTTTTTATAAACTATGAGAGCACAGACCATAGAAATGATGTGATGCTTTTCTCTTTCGCTCCTACATGCCATTGTCCAAGAAACTTCACTGAGAGCTGGATGTCAAGAACTCTCAATGTTATTGTAAAAAAACAACTCAACAGCAATTTTCCATGGTTTATACAGGGCTTCTGATATTTTGCGTGGTAGTGGACCCGCGAAATTCAGGTATTTCCGCGAAATTCAAACGTCCAAATTTATCTTGAAACTTCATCACTGCAACGAGTAAACAACGTCCCAAAACTACCAGGCGTTCTTAGACTAATGTTGTGAAAAACTGGGCACTAACCATTAAGCATTCGCTCATTTCTCGAGCAAACTGTTGTTGAAAGAGCAAATGTTTATCCCTGTTAAAAAAACAAGGTTAAATAACGCTGGTCATATCGACGCAAAATTGATCGATTTTAGCGAAATTTGACAAAAAAAATCTAGCGAAATCGGCTGTTTTTTACCGATTGTTTCTTGGCGAAGTTTCCCCTCGAAATTTCCCGTCAAATCGGCCAATTTTTCTAAGAATTTGCCCCTGAAAATCCTTCGAAATTTGACTCTTTTCCACTAAAATCCCGAGAAATCGGCCGATTTTTCTCTGAATTTTGACTTTTCTCCCGCGAAATCAGCCGATTTTTCCACGAATTTGCCCCTGAAAACCCCGCGAAATTTTGCTTTTTTTTCCGCAAAATATCAGAAGCCCTACCCTTTTCAACCACGGAAGTGACATCAAAATGTTCAAAATATGAGAGGAACCACAAGCCACATCACTTCTATGGTCTATAGGAGTATGGACCATGGAAAGTTGTTCTTGATTTGTTAGATTTAGGAATGACTGTCAGGGCAGCTGCAGGATAAATCATGCATGTCCTTGCAATCCTTTTTTGTGGTTACTGGCTTTTAGCCAGTAAGGCACTATGTCAGAGTCTTTGTTAGTGTGTCGGTATGTCCATCCGTAAGGTCATTTCTCTTGTTCTTGTAGCACATGGCATTAATAGACTCTTTTGTAAGTACATTTATCATTTGAAAAATAATTGGATTGAAAGAAAAATATATATATATAAAAGTACATGATATGTCAAGATTAAAATGCTAAGAAGTAGTGACAGTTTTGCTCATAAAATGTCAAGAAAACGGGAATAATAACTAGTAAGTGCGCTATTTTAAATGACTTCACAACCTGCAAATTCAGACCGACAACACATGTTTTTAAAAAAGCCTCTGCATATTAGAAGTTCCTACACAACATGACTGCCATGATGAATGGCTTTGTTGTGCAAGCTCATAGTTTTTGATGGACATTTGGTTCTCGTGAAACCGCTGACTGAACGTAGTTGATCATAGTTGGTGCATTTGTCCTCTTTTGGTTTAGACTATTCATTGCCATGAAGCACATGTCCTCTCAGCGGAATATTTTGTAGGGGGAAAAGTGCGGAATTGGTGCAACAGCGTGGCATGGCTCTAACCCTAACCCTTACTCTTTTTTTGTCAAATTTTAGCCTCAGTTCCCCCAACAAATGCCTTACTTGGCTCAACAGCAACAAAGACAACAACAGCAGACATACCCTCAGCCGCCTACTGCAATGCCGCGATTGCCATCGTCTCATCCACAACCCATCCTTCCCAAACCAGCTTCAGCTGAAATGTTTGGTGCCTCTACCAGCCTGAGGTACGCCAGTAACAATGGAGGTGATAGTCTAGCAGGTCAGGATTTTGTGTCAAACAGGATGACAGATCAACAACAGCTTGCAATGCCTTCTGCACCAGCGTCATATGGAAACCCACCCATGGGACGGATGAGCTCCTCTTCAGAAATGATGGCCAAGTATGGAGGAAGCAGCCAGGGTGGATACCAGCGAGGGAACCCTCCACCATTTCCTGGGTCTCTCCACTCACGGCACTCACCTTCTCCCAACATCACCTTGGGCTCACCATTGAGGAGTGTTCCTGATGGTCAGTAAGAAATTTGAAAATGTCATTAACCCTTTATTAAGTCCTAGTAGTGAGCAAGATCAATTTTCTCCTGACAAAATCCATACCCTGTCAAGAGATAAGTTATGAGAATTAATAAAATGATCACCTTAGAGAAAATGCCTTGATTTATTATCAATTTTCTCAACTAATTCTTTATGGAAATGTATGGAGATCAGTACGGAGAATTTGTATGTAAATATTGAAGCTTTAAGGGTTAACAGGTTTTAAAAAACCAGCTGGTAAAAGAGGCAACCAATTGGCTTTTTACAAGCACAGCCAAGGATTTGAACTTTAAGTGACCAAGAAACAAATCCAGCTGGTGGTCAGAGTGTGACTCCAACCTTGGTCTGCTTGGATTACGAGTCTGACATGCTGACCACTTGATCAGTCTGCCTGTTAGGGTACATCTTAAACCTTAATTAACCCTTGAGGTCCCAAGAGTGACCAAAATCAGTTTTCTCCAAGGGCCTGTTAACATGGAGGCGGAGGACCCCAGAGAGGTAAAGTAACACGTGGCAGGTCACCCCCACCTACACTGTATCATGTAAATGTAATCAAATTAAAATGAGAGATTATATGGACAGGCAGTTTACCTCACCTATCTGGGGCCGCCCACCTCCATGTAAACAGGCCCTAAGACAGCTCTGATACAGCCCCCCTGTGTAAGAAATTTGTATGTGGATTTTTGATCGTTCAGGGTTAATACGTAGTGATAGAAAGGTAAACAAACACAAAAGAGGTTTTCAGCCTTCTTAAACCTTACCTATCATAGACTGCTTTTCAACATTTTAAGATGTTCCCTTATCTAGGGACACCACCCTCAGTTGGTATGGCCAATTTTGGTACAGACAGCCCAGCTACATCAGGCAGCATGTCAAACTACCCTCCTGGGAAGCTGCCTACACCATTTGGAATGGGATCTTCCCAAATGTCCGGATCAGGAGTATCTAGTGGCCACCTCCCATCTTCCAGTGTAGGAAGCTTGCACTTCTCCACTGCTGGATCGAGTGTTGGTGGACCAGCTGCCGCAGCTGCTGCAGCAGCTGTGCTTGAGGCAGCCAATTCTGGAGCAAGATATCCCAATGCTGGTCCAGCTCCAGGGCAGCCGTATATGAGTTCACAAGAGATAATGCTAGGTAATAAGGATCTGACAGAGGTCTCTGTGTTGGGGGAGGGGGGGTAGTAGTAAGAGCAGTTAGGGTGTAGAGATACAGTCAACTATCTCTAAGGTGGACACCTTCAGGACCAGCCCTGACTGTCTGGCTTACAGAGAGTCAAGGTAATGTGACACCAGTAATTTTAAGAAACTAAAGCTAAACCCATTCGCAATAAATACATGTCTGTTAAACTTGTACAAAACAGCGAAAACTGGAACTCTGTAACAGAAAAGTGGAATCACTTTCTCGTTGTAAAATGAAACATTCATTACAAGCAAGTGTTCACAGCCGGCTTTGTGGTTTAAATGCATAAAAGTATACACTCTGTGAATTGGAGGAACACTACAAAATCAAAAAATTTGCAATTTACTGTCATGTGGAGCACCTACATTTGTTTTGAGGTATTTTTGCTGCATAAACAACTTCCCAATTGTCCATTGACAGTTTCAAAAGTGTCACTTGACTGTCTGAGAGAGGTGTCCATCTTGTAGAAAAAAAAACAGCTTGGACCAACACCGGGTGTCCGTCTTAGAGAGGTGTCCGTTAAGAGAGAGTTGACTGTAAAGTGAGTGTGTACACACACTCTTGACCAGTGTGAGCTTTCCACCTAACAGAGGTTTCTGGCTTTTGGAAGAGTCATGAACAATATTTTCTCATTTCAAAGTTGCAAGTAAGCCCCTTGAGCATTTATATAATGTTGAAATAGGTTTAAGGTTTAGTAGAAAGATAAAATTATGCTGTCTGGAAAGATAAGTAGAAAATGCTTGTGTTCTGTAGTTGCTGTTGGCATTGGGTAACCATCTTTTGTTTTGGGGCAACTATGACATCATGCTCTATTTCTGCAGTTCCTGTGCAGTTAAAAATTAATTTGAACTTTTCCACAGGGCGTGTACCTTCCCCAACATTGAATGAATTACCCACTGCCGAAGATGTGGAGGCAATGATTGAGTCTATGAGAGCAGGGGAGACATCCTTGTCAACTAACAATGGCGAGGAGCAGCCTTCACGTGGTTCGGCCCCACCGCCACCGTCAGTGGCTACGGTGTCTGGTACAGTGGAGTCTTCACCTTCACAAGGTCCTCCTTCACTAGCACCTCAAGGAACTACTGTTAATGGTAACAAGATATAAACTGCTTTTATGTTACTCTGGTCGTTTCGCTGTTCTTCAAGATTTATTTAATTCTCAGTGTCTCAGTATTCTAACAGTTCTAGTTCATGTGTCATTCAGACTTCTACATTTTGAGGATTAATAGTGTGATTCACTGAAAAAGGTAAAATGTCCTGATAAGAAATTTGCTCAAAGGATGAAAAAACACTTGGAAAAAACTACTTACACGAGCGTGAATTATGTCCGGGTCTTTGTTTCTAAATCTGAATTCTTCTGTTCATGTCCACTGCTAACTCAAAACTGAATTTTAAAAACATAGCGCTCGAATGCAAAATACCCTTAGGGATTTAAGGGACATGTTGATATCGCCAATGGATTTAATTTATAACAGCCGACATTTCGTGACACCACCACTGGTTTCACCGCAAAATAAAAGCTGAGGAACGAGTACAGAAATTCCACTGATGACATGTTACTACCCAGATCTGGGTAGTGCTTCTTATTGGTTGTGCCGTGGGTGAAATTTGCCAATCCAGGTCTGGGTAGTGACACATCATCAGGATGGAACCTCTGTGCTGGTTTTGTCAGACGTCATTTTGCTGGGAAACAAGTGTTGACAGTACGAAATGTCAGTTTTTCTCAGGCTACTTTTACGTCTGTATGCAAGTCTTGAATGTGTTGATTCATTTATCAGTCCTTTGGATTAATTTATGCATTTTTGTTGAATGGGGGTAGTTAATAGGGTTTATTATTAGATGGAATGAACTCAAAAAGATACCATTTTGTAATCTAAGAATTGAAATTCATAAGCTTTCGCCCCCGTTGAAATGTGTAAATGTCAATGATTTCTTTTTCCTCAGCACAAGGAGAGGAAGAAAATCTTATTGCTTGAATTGCATTTTAGTCTGGTCTAACTTGTGTTAAAAAGTCAATCTGTATTAAGGTGGCTCCCTAGAGTATTTACTAATAATCCGAGCTATCAAGCACACGTTACAGAAGGAAATCTAGTTACTTTGTCTTTGTGATTCTGTTCACGAGATTCACCGCTAAGGTTACCCATATAAGAAGGCTCCTTTATCAAGTTTCATTTTCTGGAGTGAGGCTGTTGCCATGGAAACATCGCATCCTTAAACAGGCAGTAATTTTGTCATTTTTGCCCATTTTTCCTTAATATTTCTAATTTCCTGCAGTGAAATGTCTTTAAACTTTGCCACTTTATGCGAACAATATTGCTTAACATTTTAAAGTGGAAAAAACATGGGGTCGTTAAGACGGTTTTGCCAATATTTTGAAATTTGTAATTTTTCTTAATAGAGGAGTTTAGCTCTTACAGATTTTGACAAAAAAATGACAGTACAAAGGTACTGCTACTGTTAAGAAATGAGGCGATTTTTAAAAAAATTTACCGAAGGAAACGCGAGAAATTCATGGTTAATTAACTGCGCTGACGTCACAAAAATCCGAAAAACACGCGTGGTTCGGGGTCGTGTGAGGAAAATACGCACGCAAGCCATCACGCCCGCATGCGCATAATGCACAATGCTACTGAAAACATGTGGTTTCTTTGAAGAGTACGAAAGCCATTGTTTTGAAGCCGTTTATTAGTATTATTACGGTGATATCTCGCCAGTTGAAAAGGAGAGATAGCGGATTCAATTTTATACCTAACACAGGATGTTTTCTTCGAAGTACTTGACTGTTGTAGTTAAAATTCGAACCTTGGTGGTCACTCGTGAGGATGGCGATCGTCGGAGATGAAGACGGTGATTGTGCAAGGATCGCAATAAGCTCTTCATTTCCTAATCTGCTGTACACTGTTTGCAGATCTTCAAATGTCAGCCCACTTTCGGATACTTTTTTAACCTTGTTCTTCTGTAGGGATAATTTCGACGGCGAAGTTTTTCTTTAAAAGTCTGCTGTAAAAGATGGCGCCGATCTATAAATCGTACATCATGTCCTCAGCTACACGTACAAGACCGTAGGTCTCGACAGACAACTATTACTTTCGTCAAGGGTCAATCTGTGAGTAGAAATTATTTCTCGTTGTGCAAAAACATTTTCTAGTGCATCTTGCATGTGCGTTGAAGGACGTTTGAAACAAGAAAAAATACAAGGATGTTGGTTCATCGATGGAAAGGTTCCTTCGATTAGGTTGCAAGTTAAGTGGGAAACCTTTTTTCTGAAAAGTTTTTTAAACAATGTGATAGAGTCGGCAAGACAAAAAAAAATTACACTCCCTGTAATTTTGTCTTAAAGCCACTTCTAGAATTACTTAAATCAAATCAAATGTAAGAGAAATAAAGTGACCGAGGAGTGATGACAATCTTCAGTGTTTGTTCGAGAATTGGCTCGATCTTTCAGATCTTTCCACTGACCGTGAACCAAAGGCCAGAAACAGCAACATTGCTTCCTTCTGGGTTAGTGTAGTTACTTCTTTGTTTTATATTAAGTAAAGTTTCCACTCACCATTTACTTCGACTATTTAACGTTTGTCTACTTTTGAAGTGAAAGAATTGATGTCTTTGGAAAATTTCTGCTTTGTTTTTACATACAATTTACCCTTATGGAGATCGATAGTGACTTGTAACCGGTGTAGCATTGTCTCCTCTGATAATTGTTTGACCTACACTAATCAAACTTTTTGCACAATGAGCTTCAACAGAAAGTTAATAAAGTTTTTTGGGTGGAATACTTCGAAACTGAGAGGCCATGTTTGTTTTAATTTTTGTGTGGACGTCGTGCGGATTTTAAAGCTCGCGCCATACTAGTGTTCAGGCTGCACACAGCCAATTTACTCTAGGGAGCCACCTTAAGCAAATAGTTGGCCATTCCCAATGAGTGGTAATTGATGATAGTTAAACACAGTATTGATTCCATATATGTTTCTATACCTACGTTGTAGCTACAGATCAAAATAGTAACAGCGATACCAAACAGCTGAACAATTCAACACTCAGCATGCCCGGTGTGAGCAAAGATGACAACCCTCAATCTGCTCCTTCATCACCTCTATCTACGTTTTCTGGTCTTTCTCCTGGGGTTTCTCCATCAGGCGTATCCATCACATCATCATTTGGTGATGCAGAAATTGACCTGGATGAAATCAATCCCTCACTTCCGAATAATCCCATCTCTATGGTAAGTTTCTAGAGTTAATGTGGATTCTTTGCAGAAGTTAAATAAAAAGCTGTCAGTTAGAACCTGTTAGGCTAAAATTTGCCAGTTAGGCCTCCTCTATACAAGAGGAGGGGGCGAGGGTGGCGCAGTGGTGAGAGCACTTGCCTCCCACCGATGTGGCCCGGTTCAAATCCCGGCGTCGACACCATACGTGGGTTGAGTTTGTTGTTGGTTCTCTCCCTTGCTCTAAGAGGTTTTTCTCCGGGTACTCTGGTTTTCCCGTCTCCTCAAAAACCAACACTTCCAAATTCCATTTCGATCTGGAACGCACGGACACGTTTAAACAAATTCACATGAACTGTTAAGTGCTCCGTGGGTAAAAAAGCAATTTACAATTTTTTTTATTTTTTACGGGTTTAGCCTAAAATTTGAAACAGGTTCTTACTTTCTTAAACATCTAAAAAAGTTATGTACACTTGGGGAACATTCAGGATCCTCTTTGGAGAGAGAGGTGCCTTATCACTCCATCTGCAATGTAATGGCATGCAGGTTTTATATAAGCAATAAGCTGAGTACCAATGAATACTCTCAGATATGGTTACATTGTATATTTTTGCTTCAAAAAATAAGAACCTAAATAGCCTAAAATTGTGCTAATTACCATTTATGTATAAACCTGTCAAGGCTAACTTGGGAAAATACAGGTTCTTACTCGCAGATTTTTGTCTCATGGGTGGAAAGTGACAATGCATGCACTTGCGGGATTGTTTAGGTTGCTGCAAAAGCAAGGCTGACATCCCTGATCTTCTGAAATTTTCACCACATACAAAAACCAGGCTTTTAGCAAGTATTGAATTCAGCTTTCGTATAATGTGAAGAACTATACAGATCAAGGAGGCTGTCATCAAGGTGAAGGCTTAGGTGGTGGTAACGGCACCCGAGATCTGCATAATTCTTCACATCATACAAAAGCTGAATTCAATAATTGTTTTATTATACATTCTCAAACTCATTAATAATTCATTAAGAAAATACAAAGGAAATTAATGTTTAATGAGTGTTTGGAAATCGGATGAAACACTGCTTAGTATTTGCATCCTTAATTTCTCCTACAAAAATGATTTTGTTTGAGAAGAAATATCAAACATTCGACACAGTGTTTCATCACCAGATGAAACACCTCGAAGTTCGTCAAAAATACTCCGCTGCGCGTTGTATTTTCAACTCTCTTCTCGGTGTTTCATCTGGTGATGAAACACTGCATCTCATGTTTGATATATTACTTCAAAATATTTCTAAGGTCTTATCAAGATAACCTCCACACAGTCTTTCCTGTAAACTCTAGCCTATTTCGTGGCACAGTTCTAGGATATAAACAGGTGTTTTTATGTTAAAGATACTCTGTCCATCGAACAATGTTTTTTTTGTTTTTTTTGGGCTGTTGCAACTTCAGATAGCCATGTCGCTCTTGTACATCTCCCATAATGCACCCTATTTGCCCCCCAAATTTTGCATAACCTTTGTTTTTCATTTCTGCTGGGTATTACAGCTGTCCCAAGAGAAATTGAAAACAATGCTTATGCAACATTCGGGCGGCTAGCCTGCGAAAACATCCATTTCTCCTCGCTCTTCACCGCTGGGTACGTTTTGCGTGGAGGAACGTCTGTGACTCAGTGACAGAAATTCCATACTGATGATGTAAAATCTGTCCAGAATCCGGTCACAAGCGCTGATTGGTTGGCAGAGTAGTTACATTGTTTTAGTTATTGTTTACAAATGACAGACAAAAGACAAAAGGCCACAAAGGTCAAATCTAAACGCAAAGAATCTCTATCAAAACAGTCAATATTTGTGGAATATAGTCTTCTCTAGAAGAAGCATTTGAGTTTTGTTGGAGCGTGTTGGCAGATGAACACAACACTTTTCCAAAATCGACCTTAAGACACATAAAATTGGACAAATTTATATTTGGAACCCCATGACTACCGGATTTATTATGTAAACATTGATTTGCATCATCAGTATAGAATTTCCTCCACGCGAAACATCCCCAGTGGCGAAGAGCGAGGAGAAACAGATGTTTTCGCAGGCTATTGGGGGGCAAGTAAGGTGCATTATGGGAGATGTGCAAGTGGCGTATGAGTGCCAGTTTTTTAGTTTACAGGCCCCAGTTGTTCAAAAGTTGGATAGCGCTATCCACCGGATAAATCACTATCCAAAGGATAAGTGTTAGGGAAACCAATTGCGCTATCCAGTGGATAGTGATTTTTCCGGTGGATTTTGAACAACTAGGGCCTGGTGGATAAATAGCTAGGCGGCCCGCCTGGAAAAGATCCATGGTCTTTTCCCCATGCAGCCTTGTTTCCAGGCAAATGTACTATCGATTAATATGCCATTGAATTTATTGCTTGCATCTTTAGGCCCCAGTTGTTCAAAAGTTGGATAGCGCTATCCACCGGATAAATCACTATCCAAAGGATAAGTGTTAGGGAAACCAATTGCGCTATCCAGTGGATAGTGATTTTTCCGGTGGATTTTGAACAACTGGGGCCTGGTGGATAAATAGCTAGGCGGCCCGCCTGGAAAAGATCCATGGTCTTTTCCCCATGCAGCCTTGTTTCCAGGCAAATGTACTATCGATTAATATGCCATTGAATTTATTGCTTGCATCTTCCAAATTTGGTCAACACCAGGAAAAAGACGAAATTGAAAGAATAGAGTATTATCACGTGACCTACATAGGGAAAACAAAACCATCAAGCAAATAAGGTCTATTCGAATTTCACCTTCTGAAGATTCCAGGTTATCACTCTTCTCAAAAGTGAGCTGCTTTTATAATCACACTGAGCTTTTTGCTTGTCCTGTTTTATAGTCTTCATACCAGTTTCCTTCATCGAAACAGAACCAGCAACAGTATGACAAGGTATGTGGTTCATGTGCTAATAATTTTCTCTCAGGACTTTGAAAACTCTGAAAATTCCCTCTCTTTGTTTGCCTATTTCTTTTATAATTTCATTGAGTGACGTTAATAAAAATAATAATTATTTACCGTATTTATTCGAATAAGCGCCGCAATTGAGAGAAAGAAGCCGCGGCACTTATGGGAGTAAATACGTTATTTCTTCTTAAGCGCTATTTACAAGTGTAGATCAATTTTCATATTTTGTACTCGGGAAAATTTCGTCCATTTCAGTATCTCAATATCTTGGACCTATTTTAGACTTGATCAACGTTAAAACAGGCAGATGCCTGTGAAGGAAACAACGGATACAATATTTTTGAGACTTTTTATTTTTTCCTCAATGATATTCCAAATAGAAATTTACCTAGTATGTTTTTCCTACTCCCAGTTACAATGTAACTCTTCCATCCAAAGATCATTTTGCATTGGAGAAACATTTTTCGGGAGGGGAAGAAGGGTCATTCTTGTTAGAAAACTCGGTAACTGCAGTTACTGAATTCTGCCGATTAGGATCCTTTTTAATGAAAATATCATAGAGACTTGAAAAAACTCTTTACATTTTTTAATGTTGGTGAATAATTTTGCTTTTTCAGTTCTCCAAGCTATATGAACTTTCTGATGAACCAGAAAGGAAGGAATTCCTTGATAAGTACCAGGAATTCATGAATAGTCAAGGTAACTTGGAAAGAGATCTTTAAAAAGCGTGGAGGAAAATGTATAGTTGATGTCCTGGTTTGTCCGTCTATACAGGAACATCCTAGGAGGCCCAGGGGCGGTCAGTCGGGTCGGGATAAACGGCGGCGAAAGTTTTCAAAAACGGGCGAGAGAGCCCCTGGGGTGCTGCTATTAAAGAACCAGTTCCACGACTCAATCGAGTGCTTGTCTCTGATTGGGCACAAAAATCGGAAGCCAGCATCTATCGCGCTGCTTTCGTGATCTTCTTATAGGAAGGAGTTAACTTGCAAACTCGACTTTTCGCCGTACCTGTCTGGCTCGTACAGGAGAGCTTTCAAAACTGGACAGAGACAAAACGATTTCCTCTTAATATAACTCTACGTACCGATTCAGGTCATTAAAAGTTAAAACATATGCGCGCGAAATCTTGTGCGTGACTGTTTACGCCTACTCGGCATACTTGTCAGTCACGTGCAGGAGAAAATTCTTTGCCCTAGTTTGTAGGTTTGTGCTTAAATATTTCTCTTCAGTGACACAAGAGGATCGAACGAAACTGGTAGACTAAACTTGCGGAGTTGCATGCACCAACCTAGAAGTACACTGGTGTTTAAGAATACCTTCGATCAGTCCACAGTCTGATTTCTTCGGGTTGGTGCATTTTTGATTTAATTAGATTGCCATTTATTATGCATGCAATAATTTCCTACTTTTTCTCACCAATAGTTAACATGAATAGAGTCGGAACATTTATGCATAATAAATGTCTCGGTTTATACGGAAATCTTACCTTTCGTTTTGTTTTGCTGACATGCTAAATTATGGGATATCTTTGATTTTGTGCCCCCATTTTCTTTGAAAACTCTTCTGGAAGAAAGCTCTTCTGCACAACCCAGACATGTACGGCGATCTTCGGCGAACAGTCAACTTTGCAGGTAAACTCCTTCGTATAAGAAGTTCACGACAGTGGCGCGATAGATGCTTGTCCTTGATTTGGCACAAAAAATCAAGCAGAGTCAAGCATTCGAATGAGTCGTGGAACTGGTTTTTTAAGAGTAGCATGCCAGGGGCTCTCTCAACCGTCCTTGAAAACGTTCGCCCCCGTTTTTCCCAGCCCGACTGACTTCCTTTGGGTCTCCGAAGATATAACGGGAATAGCCAGCATAGGAAAGAAAGCGGGTTTTTTTACTGTGGGCTAGCCAGTAACTTAAACATTTCATCCGCAGATTTACAGTGATATCTGGGCATTCAGCCAAGTGTTTGAAGTGTTTTCTACAAATTTTTGACAACTCTAATGGAATTTTTTTATGATGCAGTATCAATCAAAGAGTCCCGCGATGCGATTTTCACGTTACTCTTCTTTTTGAAAGATTTTCAATTTAGCTCTTGGAGTTGTACGACCCCGACTTCAAACATCTCGGATTTGGATTGGTTCTGCATTATGTGAAATCCAAGTTTTTTAGAGTACTTGTTAAATAGATGTCGAAAATCTCGTTCATCACTGTGAATGTTAGTACTTTCTTCTGCGGTATGACAAGAAAAGTTGATTGTTTTGCTTTTGTGTTGTGTTCAGTGAAAATCTCGATTGCATGGGAAATATTTTTCAACTATTTTTTGTTTTTATAGGCACGCAGATTAGCCAAGTTCCTGTGGTGGCAAGGCAACCTCTTGATCTCTTCAAGTTTTTCACTGTAGTCCGAGATAGAGGCGGTTTACAAGAAGTGAGTTTATTTAATAAAAACTCACCCCGCTGCGGCTAGCTACCTGTTTCAGGCCCTTTCAACCAGCTGCACGTCTTCACGAAGTTTTTCCGCGTTTCCTTTCCCGCGCTTGCGACTAGTAACAAGTTGTCCGCGTTAGGTACAGGCAAAATGTTTTCCCGCGCTTGGGACGACTTGGACTGCCAGACTGGTTACATATTTTCCCTCCTTGCGGACTGGTTACGTGGGGTGCTTACCATGTACACAAACTACCTGGGTGGACATTTGACGTGTTGGGAGAAGAACCCGTAACAAAGTATATCCAAATCAGCTGTACAAACTAAAAAAAGTGGAAAAATTGAATCGCTTCAAATCACAACCCGTATTTTTCTGAAGCTTCCCAAATGGAATATTCTCCCACGGAGACGTTCTTAGGGGTTCGTCACGCGCTCCTGAATGCGTTCCTTGTGGGGCAGAAACGCGTGACGAACCCGTAAGAGAGTCTGCGTGGGAGGCTACAAACCGAATGGCACTAATCATTCAATTTTTTAACCGGAATTTCCGGTTTTTGCATGTAAATGGGAAGTACCCATGTTTTCCCGCGCGACGCTGGGACTGGTTACAAGTTTTCCCGCCTTGGACTTGTGAGTGGTGACGTCTTTCCCTCGCTGGGGGCTGGTAACTTGTTTTCCCGTACTCACTTGCAACCGTTGTTCTTCTTAGGTTGTGAGAAGAAAGCTATGGCAGGATGTCTTAGAGGCCTTAAACCTCCCTATGGATAATCCCAGTATAGTGAATAACCTTCGCAACCAGTATTCACGATACCTGCTCTCTTTTGAAATGAAACATACCAAGCAAAACTCCATTGATGACATAAAGATTAGCCTTTTGGAAAATTCAGGCATTCCGCCTCCAAATGCTACTGTTACATGTTCGGAGGCAATTATACCCACAAACAGTCTTACACAAAGCCAGCGGGAAACTTCCTCCATTCACGGATCCTACAACTCAATGACAAACGAATCTCCTGTCGGTTTGCCTCCCAGCTACAACGCTAGGGATAGCTATGCGGAATCTAGCTACGAAAATAGCAGTAAAAGTTTTCCTGACCTTAGAGACAGTTCTCTTAATTTTCAAATGAAACAACCGACTCCTCCCAATTCATTTGGAGTACCTCCGTATCCGTACTCTGGGGATAGGAGACAGAGTTTATCCAATCAACCCCAGGCAGGGCTTCCTCCGTACATGTTGTCGCAACGTAATATGTATCCGGGACCCCCTTCCATGTCGCCGTACTTTCAACAGTCGACTTCACAATCAGGGCATCCAGCGACTAACTATCCACATTCGCAGTACCCTCAACGGGCAAGTCCGTCATTGATGGGGGCGCTCTCATCATCGCATTCCATGATGCCCAGTGCAAGCCCACAGGATAAGATGCATGTTGCATTGTGGGGCTCCCAGTATAGCCCTTCAACAGAACCAGAGCACATTGTTGATTACCCTCCCGGGGCACACAGTGGGCGAGCTCCTCGTTCATCAAGCGGTCTTCCGCCCCAGTTCTCCCCAGCACCTCCCTATGGCTCATACCCAGGCCGTCAACAAAGCCAATATTCCGCCGCCACTCCGCCATATCGTCCCAGCCCCTCGCCGTCACCGTCGTCCCGGCAACCATTGGCGCAGTCACTGCAGGCGTCACAGAAGATGAAGTATCCTCACCAACAAGCAACGCAGCAACAGCAGCAGCAGTCACAGCAAGCTGTAAAGAGGGATATGCCCTTTCCTAATGACTGTGTTGAGGCCACAAGGCCTGTCTTTACCAAGAAACGCAAGCTTACGTCTAGAGACTTAGGTATGTTTGGCAATTTTTTGTTTGACAATACTTGAAACAAAAACGAAATAGAAGAAAGAAAAATTCTTTTTACACAGATGAGTCCTTTAAAGGTGCTGTCCAATGTTAAAATCCATCCAAAGCAATTTATGTTAACATGAACGTGTTACCCTGTGTCCACGCGAGTCCGTTAAAGCATTTTTGAAAAAGAAAGAAAAACAGCCTCCAAACACTTAAAAATAATTAACTGTTAACTCTGGCCTAAGGATTGGTTCTAATAGGTAGTTTAGCATACGCAACTTCACGAAATAATAGAGGGCTTTTTAAGATCCGACGGCGGCAACAGCAATTTCACATTTTATGGAGGATTTTAACAAGCGACAACAAAATTTTCTTTTCTTTTCTTTTGTCTTCGTAGGAATTTAATTCCAGGAGAATTTGTCTACACTTGATTAAGTGAGTTGGAATGATCGCGATGAAGATTATTTCAACTCAAATGAAATGTCAAATGAAAGTAAATCTCCCCGGAATTGAATTCTTGGGGACCGAACCCAAGTTAAGAATAAGAAAAAAAATTCATTGTGGTGTGTTTACGTTCTCCATAAAACGTCCCGTGAGAGAATTTCTCGAAGTAGTCGTGCAATGATGGCAAAGAAATATACAAAAAAGTGTGTTGTACGTGCAGAGTGGTGATTTTGCTTATTAAACGTATTGCTCTTCTGACTTCCTCGTTGTCGTTGCCGTCGTCGATGCTGAAGCTCCTATAACCCCTTAAGCCCCGATATCCACATACAAATTCTCCAAACTAATCTCCATACATTTTCTTAAAGAGTTGAGAGAATTTGATAACAGATCAAAGCATTTTCTCTTTAGAGGACATTTTATTAACTCTCATAGCCATTTCCCTTGGCAACATATGGATATTTGTTAGGATAAAATTGATGTTTGTCACTATTGGGACTTAAAGGGTTAACTTCCGAAAACTGCAACGTAGAAGCAACGGGAATTTATTCCTTTTCAAATGTTATAATTTTCAGGTCCCGTGGAAGCCTGGCGAGTTATGATGTCATTGAAATCTGGTTTGTTATCGGAGGCCACTTGGGCTCTGGATACACTCAACATACTCCTGTATGACGACAATACCGTAGCGTACTTCATGTTATCGCAACTCCCGGGTCTCCTGGAAAACCTGATTGATCACTTCCGGCGGTATCTGACGGAGATTTTTGGTGCATTTGACGAGAGCGAGATCACTGTGGGTGCTAAGGTGTTTGAGCCATCNCCTTAAGCCCCGATATCCACATACAAATTCTCCAAACTAATCTCCATACATTTTCTTAAAGAGTTGAGAGAATTTGATAACAGATCAAAGCATTTTCTCTTTAGAGGACATTTTATTAACTCTCATAGCCATTTCCCTTGGCAACATATGGATATTTGTTAGGATAAAATTGATGTTTGTCACTATTGGGACTTAAAGGGTTAACTTCCGAAAACTGCAACGTAGAAGCAACGGGAATTTATTCCTTTTCAAATGTTATAATTTTCAGGTCCCGTGGAAGCCTGGCGAGTTATGATGTCATTGAAATCTGGTTTGTTATCGGAGGCCACTTGGGCTCTGGATACACTCAACATACTCCTGTATGACGACAATACCGTAGCGTACTTCATGTTATCGCAACTCCCGGGTCTCCTGGAAAACCTGATTGATCACTTCCGGCGGTATCTGACGGAGATTTTTGGTGCATTTGACGAGAGCGAGATCACTGTGGGTGCTAAGGTGTTTGAGCCATCTGAGAAGGAGGCAGATGAGTGCCAGCGAAGCACGGAGGAAGAGGAAGAGATTGATAAGATAAATCAAAACGCTAAGCGGAGTTTTAGCGCCGTGCTGGTCGGCTCAACGTTTCAGTTTTCCAGGGAAGGATTTCAGAGCGGTTCAAGTAACTGGCTGATGGGCGGTGGAGATACAACTCTTCATATACAGACACATATGGGTTCTATGTTGACTGAACAGCAGTGCCAGAGCACTTGTATGAAATCCGATACGGAATTGCAGTGTTCCGAGGATTTGAACTGTGGAAAAGTTCTAAGAATTTATAGCGAACAAAAACAGCTCTCTAGCATTGGAGAAAAGAAGTCGGAGGCTTTGTGTATGGACATGAATTGTCCAAGAGACAGAAAGTGTATGGTGAATTGTAAAGAACTTAAAAAAGAATCCTCTTGTCCAGTTTCGGTTAAGGAGGATTCGGAATCTAAACCCGATACTGTCGTTAAAACAGAAGAGGAGCAGAACGAGAACTCTACGGACGAAAACGATGATGAAAAGTTTACCGCTAATTTAAAAAAGGAACTTGATTTGGACTTGGACTCGGACCCTGAGGATTCCGAAGCTGACGTATATATTCAAAGAGAAGTTGTGGGTAAAATGAACGTGAAACAAGAACCAATAATTGAAGAACAATCATGCGGCAAAGAGGACGCTCCGCTCTGTTTAAGAACTGAGACCCAAGATGCTGTTTCACGGCGTTGTCTCTGCGTGTCAAACATTCTTCGAGGACTTTCTTTCGTTCCTTTAAATGACGCTGAAATGGCGCGGCACGCGGGTTTGTTATTGATCGTGGGTCGTCTGCTGCTGCTCCATCATAGACATGCTAAGCGCGTGGCTTATCGTCATTCGTATCTCCAAGAGGATATTGAGCTCGAGTCCCCCAGCGATGATCGTCAAGACTGGTGGTGGTATTGTCTGGAGGGTTTGCGTGAGAACGCGTTGGTAATCATAGCCAATATAGCGGGCCAGCTCGACTTGTCCCTTTACCCTGAAGCGATCAGTTTGCCGCTTCTGGATGGACTGCTGCATTGGTTCGTGTGCCCTTCCGCTACCGCTGAAGACCCTATGCCGACAGCAACTCCGGGCACCTCGCTATCCCCGAGACAACTTGTTCTAGAGGCCCTGGCCAAGATGAGCATATTAGAGGCCAATGTTGACCTGATTCTCTCTTCGCCCCCGTTAACACGCGTCGATGAACTCTATGGCATGTTGGTTCGTCTGGTCGGGGAGAGAGGTAATCCAGTGACGCGAGAATTTGCCCTTGTTCTTCTGTCTAACCTTGCACAAGGAGAGAATTCCTTTGTTGGTTTCGGCGACAGCAAAGCGTGCATTTCCATGTTGTTAGAATTTATCGAGGATGCGGCCTCTACCTTGAGTGCTTATTCGGCAGGCAGTGCTCTGGCCCAAGCTGGTTTTCCGTCGGAGAACTTATGCGGTACAAGTGTGGACATGTTGCGAAGGGCGGCATCGACGCTAGTTTGCCTGGCCCGGATTCGCTCAAATCGCAAGCTCTTTCTACCCTTCCAACAGCGTATCCTGCGCCTTGCGATAATGAAAGTCTTGGATAATATGATAACAGGTCATTTGGCCGAGATTCTGTTCTATTTATCAAGGTGATCTTCTCAGTGCTCAATGACGAGGCACAGTTCGCTCTCCTTTAATTTTGTTCGTAACGGTGGAGGAATCTCCAAGCAGTTAATACCAATTTTGTTCTCCAAGAACAAGTCCGTTTTTTTTGTTTAGGTATGTAGTTGTGGCCAAGCCATACAAATAGATAAAAGGTGTGTGCACTAATGTTTAACCACGTTAATGAACAGTTGTCCTTTCTCGGCGATGATTTATTTTTCATCAGTTGTATAGCTTATCTTCCGGCGACTACCATACAAAAGATACTCGGCATTATTATTTTTCTTCGGTTTTTGCGGTGTTTCAGTGTTTGGGCCTGGTTTCAAAGTGTGGGAGTTTTCTGCAACCATTTCCTGTGTTCCGCAACATTTTCTCGAGCTCTCTCATTTAATCCGCCTTCGACCGAGCTCTCCGTTAAACCGTTAAAAAATCCTCCGGTACAAAGGAGTGGTTTCAGAAAACTCGCGCTTTATCTTAACCGTATCTTGGGGGTGAGAATCAGAATATAATTAATTGTCTTTCTAATACGTAATCGAGCGTTACTTTTTAAATAGCAACCAACTTTGCAAAAAAGAAAACCAACAACAATAGCTACTATGTAGGTATTTTGTAAGGCAAAGAAAACAGGGCACAATAAACAATGATTTTACTGTTTTTGTTTGCTTCGATTTGAGAATTGCGGTCAAGCACAAAGTGACTTTTGTATGGTAGTCTCTTCTTTCTGGAGTTTCAGTTGCTTCATCTTCCTTATCCATATGCTCGTGTCTGTCACGTAAGCTTTACTGGCGGTCCTCCATGAATATAAGTGAAATTACTTGGTTCTTTTTTTTTTCGCCGAAGGCCATGTCGTTTCCAACAGTGTTCTCGCAAGCCTCATTACAAAAATAATGCTCATTATGCTGCAACCGGCTCATTGCTAACTCGAGAAGACTGCTATTAAGACTGTTGAAAAGTTATTATAAAACAGGTTGCTAAACGTTGTAATATATGTAAAGTTTAGTTCGTCCACGACATAGTATTTCTGAAAAAAAGAGCCTTTTGTAGAATTGACGAAACAGAACATGGAAGTTTAAAATTAACATTTTTTGATATTCCTGTAGAGATGACGTAAAAAGAGGCACCGTATTGTTTGATATGAAAATTACATGTAAAAAAACGCCTCGTAGGGTAAAGTGTAAGAAAGTGTTAATTTAGCTAGAGTATATGTGGAAAGAAGATATTAAAATGCCAGTTTTTGAAAGCTTTGTCAGTGCGATTTTCTCTGATGTGAAGTGACGATTGAATGTTTATCAACAGGCCATTTGCACGATGACGTCGTTTTACCACTACTACCAGAAGCCTTCAGGGTTTTGCTTTCTTTGCAATTAGTGGTTTTGTTATGTATACCTCGCTGGGATTACCAAAGTTAAAAATGTGAAAGGAAAAACGAAGAGGATTCTGGTCGCAGTAGTTAGTGACGCCATCGTCCAAATGGCCTCACCGAAGTGGAGGTAAATACCTACCACTTTAGCCGACTCTGGGTTGAATAGTTGTTTGAGTGTATACAACGCGAGGTGAAAAACTAGTGGACGGACGAATTACTCCTTATTTTTGGCGCGAAATTTCAGCGTTAATTTGTAATTTCACATGTGAAATTACAAAATTGCCATTATGGCAACCTTCCGTAAGTCTCAGTGTCAAGATGGCGACGAAGTTTTAAAATTCCGTGAATGAAGATGTCAAGGCACAAAAAGACGCTTTAGAAAACCTAAACACACAACTTGTAATAAATTTATCGCACTTTGTAATACCTGTCGCAATTTGTAATAAACCGTGTCGCACTTTGTAATAAAAAAGCCGTCGCAATTTGTAATAACTGTCCATCGCACTTTGTAAAAAACTAAGCTGTCGCAATTTGTAATTATTCCATCGCACTTTGTAATAAACTTAAATTATTTTCTTTGGTCAAACATGCATGTCTTCCGACATAAATCTTTCTGCCTTAATTA